TCTAAATTCCATGAGTTATCTCCAGGCAAGAGACATGGGCACACATTTTATACTTTTGGGGGGCTCAGCCCCAGGCAAAAAGAAAAGATTGTGCATGAATCTCTAGCTCTGTCAGGAGAGCAACAATTTGCTACCACTTGCAAAGTTTCATCAAAGTTTTGCTACAACTTGCTAGGACTCTCAAAGGAGATCTGCGTTTTTGCTTTGTTAGCTTACTCCTTCTCTCCCCGTTGTTCTGGTGCCAGCTTTCAACTTTCTATTCAACCATGCATCCATTTTATGGCTAGAAGCAAGTATGTAATATTAAATGTTCCTTATCCCATCTTTCTTATCTCATAATCCCCTCATTTCATCTTGATCTGGGAACAGGCTTGTAGCTAAGATTTGTTTTCATTTCAAAACAAAACTTTCTATATGTATGTCTTGACAAGTTGTAAACAACTGTGGCTGGTTGTTGCATAGCAATTAATGCATAGCAATTAATGTCACCACCAGGACTTATCATTAGGTCCCAGGTTTTCTTTCATAAACTTTGGGGCTTGGGACAATCCTGAACTGACAATCTTAGTACTTTCACTTGTCAATTCTGAAACAATTTCATCTACTCTATCTGGAAGACACACACGGTCCAAGCTCTTCCAGAGTTTTTAGCATACAGGCAGTCCCTGAGTTACAAACATCCAACTTACAAATGACTGATAGTTACAATCAGGGGTGAGACAATAGGAAGTGAGAAAAATCTACTACTCATCTAATCTACTAACCCTACTCGCGCTCAAGTCTAATCTTTAATTCTCCTTTCTCTCTCTCTCTCTCTTCTTATATGATATATCCTGCCCTGTTATCTCTATTATCTCTTTACTTTTCCTATTTTTATGATAAATCAAATATATAGATGTACCCCTCCCTAAATCCCTTAATATATTTTTTTTAAAAAAAGAAGGGAAATCCACTACTGAAAGAGTTATCATGGGGAAAGCTGTCTCTACTGAAGTTTTATCACCAACTCTTGTTTCCACAACAAGCCATTTTTTTCAAAATCCAATGATCACAGGGACAGAAAGTGAGGTGGAATATCCTGAACAGGGGAACAGACAGCAAAAGAAACACCACAGGGGTGTTAATCCTTCCTTATGCAATCAAAATCTCTCTCTCTCTCTCTCTCTCTCTCTCTCTCTCTCTCTCTGTATGTGTACATGTGTGGGTGTGACTGGAGTTATGCTCAAAAATATACCTGTTCTGACTTACATGCAAATTCGACTTAAGAAAACCTACACAACCTATCTTGTTCATAACTTGAGAACTGCTTGCATAAGAAAGGTCATTTTGGATTATGAGAATGAATGTTCTTGCAGTTCTTGTTGCTCTGGACTAAAACAACTCATATGTGTCTCAGATAGTAAAACAAGTTCTTCTGATCACAAATCATTAACCAATAATTACTGGCTTGGAATTATTCAGCATGACATAAAGACTCTTCAACTAGCAAAGAAAAACACAACAGCCAATTGAAATAAGAAAGAAAAGAATTTGTGACATTTAGGTTCCATTTTGCTTTCAATACACGTAACGCTGTTGTGTACATATTCCTTCTCGGGAGAGCAAGAATAAGAATGTATTATGAAGTAAATCCTAAAAACCAGTTATTGTGAAGCAGTTCTTGAATTCACTCTGACCAGTGCTCAATAATTTGATGTTTTGTAGTCCAAACTGAAAAAAGGGTGCAATAATATTACACCACTTATCTTATTAGCAAGTGAGCACCTTCCTTAGACAGAACTGTGTTTCCTGCTGTCACTTCACAGTCTGACACTTTAAAAGATATTTGCTTGAAGGGCAATTAGTGGAGTCAATTAGAGCAGTGTGAAAAACCATCATGGGGAGCCTTGCCATGTGCAGGATAAGGAAAGGAACTACAGAGAAGTAGGCTAGCCTGAAAAAAGTCTCAACATGTTGTCTTTTATCTATAGTTCCTCTTATTTTTTTTATACAGTTTTTGTTTTAAATTATTTGAAGAAGTCAGGTAAATTTGTATAAGGTATTTGTCTAATATACACATTTTCTGAAAAAGCATTTAACTTTGTAGCTTCTGGAGATTCAATGGGATTGATGCTTTCATTTCAAGTGAGCCCAAAGGTCATTAGGTTGGAGCCAAAAAGCCATGGCTATTTAAATCAGACAATTTCAGATCATGTAGAACTGAGCATAAATATATAGTTCTAAAAACTATTAAAATTTGAAATGAGTTATCAGCTACAATTTCTTGAAATTGGGTCACAATTACTTTATATTATTACTGTTGTGGTTTGAGAAAATCTGATGCTTCAGAGGATGAGGAAGGGGATTTTGTGGGGTCTCAAGAGGGGTGGGGGGGGGGTGGAAGTGGCATGGAGAGATGTGTTAGTGAATTTCCTAGTAGTTCTCAGGATGTTAGAAAAAGCAAAATTTGTTCCCATGAGAATCTGACAGTGTTTGCTCCTGAAAGGAATGTGAAGGATTCTTAATTTTTCCCTAAGTCAGAGCTTTTCCTAGCACCTTTGAGATAATCAGCAAAGAACCAGGTGTATGAGAAGTGATGTCATGGGATGAGAATTGAGGCTTTTAAGTGAGCGGACCACTCTTTGTGAGAACAACTTTGCATTTAAAGTGGAAACAACTCTTAAGTTCTATGGTCGGGCTTCAAGTGTACAAATTTCTGGATTTTGGGTCTTGTTTATGTTTGTTTTTTAAGCTTGAGGTTTCTGGATTTTAATTCCTGTTCAGGTTTATTCTCTGTTTTGTTCTCTAGTTCTGGATATAACTTTGATCAAGTGTATGGAGTTTGTCTTGTTTCACTGTATCCACTCAAAGTAAAGTTCCAAGTTTTTGAATTTCTGTGGTTTGATTCATGAAACTGATTATCATCTATATGCGGCAACGTTGGAGTTTCCAGATTTGTCTTTTGGATTTTTGATCGTTCTTTTTTTTACTGTGATTCTTCTTATCTTTTATATTTTTCTTTATGAACTTTAATTTACTTCTCTTGTCCCTGCATGGTGTCTGGGTGAAAAGATGTCTCATGGCTGGGGTGCAACAATTACTATTATTAGTAATAATAATGGCACTATGCTTAGAGTTTAATGCACACAGCTTTATAACAGATACAGCTGAGAGAAAAAGTATAACATACCCAGTCAACACTTCTTCTATTTCAAATCACTCAACAATATCGGTTTAATCCCATTCTCCATGTTCTCCATGAAATATCTTAAAACAGGTGAATTCCCATGCAAAACCATGTGTTTCACTAAAGATCCATATTAATCCAACAAAATGCATTTCAGCCCTTTGAAATAAATCAAAACCTTGCTGATAAAGTAAGACAAGTCAGAAAATGAATTATATCTTGTCTCCTTGCAAAAAAAAAGTGTGTTCGGGATGTTAACTCTGTTAAATTTCATTTATGGGTATGATTTCCCATTTCACTAACATTATGCATACAGAGACATGCTGGGCAATCATCCTACTCGGATCTGAATACATAGAACTCTCTGAATATTTAAAAATGCTACAGAATTATAAACAATCTGTCAAGAGAAGTTACAGATATGATTAAAAACCGGTATCATATAATATTTAGACTCCTTCCCATTCGTGCCGCTAAAAAACTTTGTTTCTATTCATTTAGTGAAAAAAAATTCTAGAAATCATTTCTGGTTTCATAGAGAAGATTAAACTATAATGCACAGTTGTAAGACTTTCTGTTAAGATCATTCAGGCAGAAGAGTGTCTGAGTAGCAATTGCAGAAGCCCTTATCATCAATTTGCTGGAATGTGGATTATTTATATCGGGATTTTTTAGAAATGAGAACATTTTCTACAGTTATAGTACTGCTTCCAGCTGGCCTACTAGTGGGGATATTATTCCACACTTAATAAGTATGTTTACTAAAATATTTTGGCTGGCCAGCCAGTATTCCAGTTTCACCAACCTACTTTATTTATGTGCAGATTATATAAGTAGTTTAATACTTCCTGTGTAATAAAGTTGAAACTCATATGAGAGATTCTCTAGGCATGATACATTTCCATAAGCTGTGGGTTTATAAACCGCAAACTTACCCAGTCAAACCATGAATTTACAGGAGTGTTGTGTGGTTTCCAGGCTGTGTGGCCAAGTTCTAGCAGCATTTTCTCCTTATGTTTTGCCTGCATCTGTGGCTGGCATCTTCATGAATTTAAATTCTATTAGTATAGTATTTAAATCTTTGCACCATATATTTTAATATATGTATTTCATAGTAATGTGTTTTAATATATGCATTTTATTGTAGGTATTTTTGTGATGTGTTTTAATCTGGTGTGCTCTGACTTGAACTATGAGGATAGATGGGTCACCATCATCATCATCACCATAGGCTATCACTCGTGGCTGAGTATGATTGTCTTGGTGATGGGTCCATAAGTGACTTTAGAGACCTATTCTGGATCTGCATGGTGGTAATAATAAACCAAATGCTCCGGCATTTTCAACATCTTCTACCACAAGTCCACCTCACTTGAAGAGATCCAGGATACAGTTAACTTTAAGCTATCATCTTCAAAGAGTTGGTTGGCAGTATAGTGATTTCCAGTTTCTACTCCAAACCCATTTTCTCTACCACTCACCATTTCCTTTGACATGAAGGGCTGTGGAAATGATTGCTGCATAAATTCTTGCCCAGTTATGCACTAGTGCTTACTCACCAAATGAAGCCTCAGAGCTACATTGTCTGGGTACATGTTATTTTTTGTTTTGAATGCCTTTATTTATCAGCTCCAAGAAATACCACATGATTTACTTTGTGCCACAGGAAGCTGGTATGATTAAACAAAACTAATTACCAACAACGACTTATCTATTATGACACTTTAAAAATAATAACTCAGCTGGATACTTTCACTGCTACTTTACAAATGTATCATGTAGGCAAGAATACTGAAAAAATATTTAGAAATTTGAAAGATTAATGGACACTTACTTTGCTTTTGCTTCGGCATCTTCATAAGCTTTATTGGAAACATCATCCAGGCCTCCGATCAAATGTTTGAAGGAGCTGTAAAATAAAGACACACATTAAGAGAGCATTTCTAGCATAATTACAACACTAGAAAGATTACTCGTAAAATATGTCCTGTTAAGGAGCTTCAAAAACACTGTGAAGAAAAGAACTACCAGAAAGAGAGGAAGAAATATATTAAAATTCAGAGGTCTAGCTCTTTGGACAGCAGGCTCTTTCTGCCAGCAGATTCATGTCTATACATGCAAATTTAGAAAAAATTGAGAAATTTAAATAGAACTAAAATATTTCTTGACATCCTGGGAAGACTGACTAAATAAACCATCTCTCTGCTGTCTACGGCCCCTTCTACACTGTCCTATAGCCCAAGATCTGACTTTGAACTGAATAATATGAGTCTACACTCCTAGATAATCCAATTCAAAGTAGATAATCTGGATTTTATATAGCAGTGTAGAAGGGGCCTTAGTACTAATTATTAATAAGCAATCTCAAAGGAGTGTAAACGCATCTGTAAAGAATTAGACCTGGCCAGCCTTACCTCAGAGCAGGCATGTAGCCGGGGGGGGGGGGGGGGGCTTGGGGCTTCAGCCCCCCCCCCCCCAAATTCTCATGGTGGTCCACGAGAAGGCCTTACTGGTACATTATTTAAACTGTTATGTTATTCATATCATGATCTGATCACCATGCTCAATATATCCCATATGCATGGGGGTATTGGGGTAATGATACAAAAGGTTTGCTAAGGTAGACCCTCTTTCACTCAGACTCACCCCCCCTCCCGAGTCAAACTCAGCTTCCCCCGAAACAAAATCCTGGCTACAGGCCTGCCTCAGAGTGTTGCATACATTCTCCTCAACCATAGGAAAGAATCAGTTCCACTTTTGAATAAGAATGTTTAGTTTTGAAGGTGGTATCATCAACTACTTTGTCTTACAGCAACAGCAGCTTGGTGGCATAGTCATATGAAAAGGGACCACACATTACTGTGCTTGCTTCATATCCTACAGTGAGGGGTAGTGTACAGTAATAAATTAGGTGCAATTTGGAGTTTTCTGTTCCTGAGCTACTCCCTTAGCACCACACTAACTCATACAATGCTACACTGACATTAGCCACACATTTGTACTGCCCAAGTTTGTGACCAATTCCCCCTCTCTTCTCAGGACCGCTACCTACTCCCCAGTTGAACCCTGTCATGAATGAGGTCAATGAGAAGCCAGTTTGACCCCGCACCCCTCAACATTGATCTCGTGGTGGTGCTTCATTCTGATCTCAGAGCAAACAACTTTGTAAGCTATATAAACCACATCGCACAGTGATACTGATTAAGAAATAAAACCCCCAGCAAGACTAATAATAGTGAAAACTTGGAAAGGGGAAAAAGCGTTATATTGGAGAGATAGATTAGTAGATTATATCTAAATGGCCAAGCTGACAAATAGCAGCAGAGGAGGAAATAATGAAGAATTTGCAAACAAATGGAGACTGGCACTTGGGTATTTGGAAAAGAAGACAAAGGTAAACTTGAAAATTGCCATAAATATATGAGAGAAAATATATGGGCAGTTGCTTGTTAGTTGTGTGATCCTTCTTTGAGGGGCTTTGGAGGTCATGGGGTGGGGTTCACAGGTAGGGGGATAGAGGGTTAAGAAATATTAAGGTATAATTAATTGTACAGCCAAGTCTGATTGTTCATATGTTTAACGAGCACTGAATGCACACTCTTTTGTAATTTCTTTCCATATTTTTCCATATTTTTTCTTTTTTTTCTTTGGTTCATTTGTTTTGTTTCCTATATACACCATAAAGCAATAAAAATTAAAAGAAAAGAAATGAACACCCCAGTGATCCGCATGTGCGCATTACGTTGGGGAGGGGTTAAAAAATCCTAAATGAAGCCATGGATACTGCATATCCTGGAACTGGTTACAGCCAACATCTCTGGTGCATATAAGCATCATCCAAGCTCTGACCTAGTTCCAGGGCTTTCTGTATAATCAGCTTCACCTTGAAAGTTTCCTCCTCTATCAGTGCCACCACATCTTAAGTGATCTGTGTAGATGTGCCTGTAGTCCAACATTCAAACCATTATATCATGCTGATTCAAAAATGGTATAAGATGAAGTATACTCAACGTGGGATGATTACAGATGAAAGCATATTGTGAAAACAGCCTGTATAATGGCTTATTCTACATCTATACTGCATTCTTTTATGTTGCTCTACAAAGCAAAAAATAAAATAAATCAATAACAGAATTAAACTGGTACCAGAAAAATCTTGTTCTATACCTTGACTATATCAATGAAACAAGCAAATGGTGACTGATAATACAACCTTACGAGACCATGTTTAGTTTGGCATTTTAAAAGATTAGAGAAGTAATTATATATCTTAACTACCTAAAATGGTATTTGTAAATAAACTGTCCAACAATATGTGTTATTTTGTCCAATTTAAACAAAAGCATGAAGAAGAAATGAAAACATATTAAGGAGATAGCCAATTATACAAGTTAAGGATCTCCCATGACAAATAATATGGAAATATTAAGCATTAGAAAAATGAAAGCACCAGAGAAAGAATTCATTAGCAATGTTTTTAGTAGCGGTAGTTTCCTTGAATGAAACATAAAGCACAATCACAGTGCCTATTGGAGGTAAGTCCAAGTTGGCTATTTACCTGACCATATAATTGGAGACATGGGAATTAAAGTAAACTTCAGCAACTCTCTGAACTAATGATACAGAAGTTGCTGCTTTGGCTTTGTTTTCTATTTAGTTGTAAAATACAAGGGAAGGATGCTATTAAATATAACTAAACCAAAGCTAAAGAATTTCACAGCTTTTGACATGTGGAATTATATGCTTACTCATTATCTTCTCTAGCCACGCACCAGCATTTCCTGCTTTACCTGTCACTCATGCTTCATTTTTTTAAAAAATGGGCACATATACAGAACAAAATAATTTATCAGCTCATAGCAGCATCCTTGGTTAATTAATAGCAAAATGTGCATTTCAGCACCATTAAATCATAAATGAAATAACTATTTTCAGGATAAAAGAAGAAGATGACATACTTGATTACCTAAAACTGTATGACAGAAAAGAGAAGCTACATAATTGAAAATATGAGAATTTCACATGGTTCAACGTTTCAGAAAAGGATCCATCTCCTTCTAGATACTCAAACCAGGCTTACTTGGAAGAGAAGACAATTTGCACACTCTTAGAGGCATCCATTTGTCTTATACACTGTCTTATACACTGGTGACAAAAATGCATATATAATGCCAACTATGCCAAAGGGTCCTATACATTCTCAAGGATGTAGTCGTGATAGTGGAATCAGTGTGCTATAACTGTAGTCCCATCTACATTTACCACACAAGTCCCTCTACACTTCCCTAAAGCCTGGAAGGTAATGGGTCAAAATAACCACTTCTTCCTGGGTTGGCATCCAGTCTTCTTCCAGCCTCCCATTTCCACAAAAAAAGAAAAGAAAAGAAAGACTGAAGGAGCTGATGAGCGAAAATGATGTCAGGAGGTGGGAGTAAGGAGGGAAATCTCTCCCCCCCCCCCAATGACGTACCATTTTCGCATGTCAGGAGTACTGTACTGCTGGCAGGCCCTCTGGGAATTTGTGTGTGTTTTGTGGGGGGGGGGATGAGGAACTGGAGTGGAGGGGGAGGGTGACCTTTCATTCCTTTAGGCTCCAGGAGACCAAAGAACCGGAATGGCTGTGGGGATTGATCCCTGGTATTGCTTAAGGTGCAGATCTTTATAGGTGTAAAATTAATGTGAAGCAAATGGGGGAAAGCTAAATGGCACATGGGGCAAATCCATGTAGGGAATGTCACTTTAATGTGGCCTTGCCACATGTTAACCAAAGGTGGGGAAAAGTCTAAATTCAACCAAGGAATTTGGGCTTTCACCTTACTTAGGGCCAATGTAAATAGTTGGGCTGGCATCTAAACAAAATCAGCCACAACTGTCCTGCACTGCTATCCTGTGGTTCAGAAGCTTGGGCAGCCTGGGAACACAGGATTAAGTCCCCTTCCCCTTTCTCCCATGTCACATGGTCTCTAGTCATGACATGGCTCCTACTTGTTCCCTGTTGTTGCTCTGACAATAGCCATGGTGACGGGAAGTCCTGGCAAGGAAGGAAGGGTGTTTCCACCTTCCCCTGGCACTTTGTCACCCTGGCTGACATTATGGCAAGCAACAGTGTGAACAGGTAGGACACATATCACTGCCAGGTAGGACCGATCTCTACCAGCAGTTTTAATTATGAATATTAAAATCGTGTCTTGTGTCCACTATATTTTGGTCATTGTTCTGTGTGTTTTGGTGTATGTGTTTTGTGGATATACATTCTTATGTGTGCATTTATAAAACGATAATGTGTTTTTGGCTATGTTGGGGCCCACATCAAGTCCCGAAGGGAGGTGGGTAAGATCATCATCATCATCATCATCATCATCATCATCATCATCATCTAAAACCAGACCTTCTAATTAATAGAATCAATTCAAATGGGTAAAAAGTCCTAGACAGATGGAATTGAGTAGCCCCGGTCCCCTAGTAGGGCCACTGTGAGACCGATCTCTGCACTGTAGCATTTCGCCGGCCCCATGCTTCCCTTCTCTCTGCACTAGCCTTGGCCTGGCCTGTTCAATAATCCAGGCCCTTGATCAAAATCTTGGCCCCTGGTAGCTTACCTTGCATGAAAGAAGAGAGCGGAACTGGCTTTTAATTGGTTTTAATATATATGTTGTGTTAATAGTTTACGCCTATGTTTTATGTTTCATATTGTATGTCTATTGTATTTGTCCTCCCACCCCTGAAATAACGAGATGATACAAATTAGTTGGATTTAACTATGGGCAACTTTATTATTGTTACCAATTGAAATTAACTGTTTTGAAATTAAGTAACCAGAACTTAGTGGGGCAAAGTCTAGATAGCACCTTTGTCCAGTCAAATCTTTAGCTATCTGGGGGAAAACTTGTAACCCATGTAAGCCTAATA